CGTTTTCCAGCAAAGGTAAACTTGTACTCCTCACTTTCACAGCTAGTGCCCTTCCCCACCGTGCATACTCTGCTAACTCCTCAGGGAAGCGAGGCCCAGAGCATCCCCAACCCCACACAGGGCTGACCTCTCGGGGTGGCCAGAGCCAGTTTGCCTCACCCCCAGCACACACCAGAGTGCGGGCAAGGGAACCTGTTCCCTCAGCTTCGCTCTTCCCCCACATCGCAGCCCCCTATAATCAGCGGCTGGCGGCGGCCTATCAACAGGAGATTTAACAGGCTAACAAATCCCGGCAGGCCAATGACAAGGCAGGGACAGGGAGCAGCCTTCCGGACTATGCTAGGGTACGAAGTGTTGCGTTAAACTCCACTCCATGCCGCGAGGGTTTGCAGTCCTGCCCCTGCAGCCGAGGGAGGGGCAGCAGCGTCCCGAGACAAACTGCTTAAGATTTTACGTGCTGCACATGCAGCGGTGTGCACCCTGTCTTGCTTCTGTGTCGGAACGTGTCAGATCTGTCCCTTCCCTGACACCTTTTGTTCCCTTTCCAGCCAAAACCAAGCACCTACTATCAGGGGTCAGCATTTGGATCTATGGTCCATGTGCAAAGTCATTGCTGCTGCTTAAGCAGACAGTTAGAAGCATGGGGTTGCACCCTACTTATCGGATCATAGAATCATTAAGGTTGGAAAAGACCTCTAAGTTCATCAAGTCCAACCATCAACCCAACACCACCATGCCCACTAAACCATATCCTGAAGTGCCACGTCTACACGTTTCTCGAATGCTTCCAGTGATGGTGACCCCACCACCTCCCTGGGCAGCCTGTTCCAATGCCTGACCACTCTCCCCGTAAAGAAATTTTTCCTAATATCTAGTCTACACCACCCTGGCGCAACTTGAGGCCATTTCCTCCCATCCTATCGCTAGTTACTTGGGAGAAGAGACCCACCCACTTGCAAGGAGTTGTAGAGAGTGGTAAGGTTTCCCCCTCAGCCTCCTCTTCTCCAGACTGAACAACCCCAGTTCCCTCAGCCGCTCCCCATAAGACATGTTTTCCAGACCCCTCACCAGCTTCGTTGCCCTTCTTTGGACACGCTCCAGCAACTCAATGTCCTTCTTGTAGCGAGGGGCACAAAAGTGAACGCGGTATTTGAGGTGCGGCCTCACCAGTGCCAAGTACAGGGACACAATCACTTCCCTACTCCTGCTGGCCACACTATTTCTGATACAGGCCAGGACGCTGTTGGCCTTCTAGGCCACCAGGGCACACTGCTGTCTCATGTTCAGCTGGCGGTCAACCAGCACTGCCAGGTCCTTTTCCACTGAGGCAGCTTTCCAGCCACTCTTCCCCAAG